CATTATTAATTATTAGATTATATAATACGTATATTAAATTATAAGAAAGTCAATTTGACTTTTTGTTTCCAACGTCCTATTTAATTTTGACTTTTGTATTTGTTTCCAATCGTCATTGTTTTAAAAACCGGACCGGACCGACCGGTTTAACCGGTACCCGGAGGCCTGTCCGGTCCTTAGAGGTATGGAAACAGCGGTCAGTCAACAAAGTCAACAACCGGATAAAAACCGGTTGGACCGGCGGTTGAACCGGATAAAAACCGGTTGGACCGGTTTGGTAGTTGGAAAATTTTGAAAAAACTTTTGAAGGTGGTGAGTTTTGAACCCACAACCTTATGGATAACAAAAAGCATGCTTATGCCACCACACCAAATGCTTTTATGTGACATGAATATACCTTATATAATATTTAAAAGGTCAAATATCAACAATTTTCCATAAATGCCCTTTTCAACCCGGACCGGCGGTTGAACCGGTTAGACCGGTCGGACCGTCGACCGGAAGCTTCACCGATTCTGTTGCCGGTCCGGTTTCAAAAACCTTGCCAATCGTTGTATTTAATTTTTCTTTTTATATTTGTCTCCAACGTCCTATTTGGGCTTAGATAATTTGAAACAAATGTACAATGAGGCTTTGCTTTGGATTGTCCAATTTCTCATTCCTATAGGGCCTTATTTTGGTACGTTTTGGGGGTAATTTGTTTGAATATTCAGATCCTATATCTTATTAGGCCATGACTTTATAACTATCTATACTATATATAAAAGTACGAATAAAGGGAACTTTATGTTTTCTTATTGTACTTTTTTTTTCAAATATATTTCTAAATTGCCATTATTAAATAATTATTTATTTACTTTACTATTAAGATAATATAAATTTATATTATCCTCATTAGTTAGGATCCAACGTGGCTAATAGGGATGCCCCACATCATCTTTAGCATCTGAATTTTTGTCCAAAACATTCTCCAAGTCGGTTTATGAGAAGATCAATTCTATCCAGAAATTACAAGGGCAAAATCATCCATCGAAACAGCAGAATTAGGTGTCAAGATAATATAAAAGTTGTAGATCTTGGAATCCTCTTTCCAACGGTACCTCATTTGCATTTTTCTGAGCTCTGGATCAAAAGTTATGAATTTTCTTCCAAAACTGCTTTTGTGAAGTTCTTCTTTCAATAGGATTTAACAATATTGCATCATGGCTGAATCATTATTGTATCATAATTATTGATTAGACTTGGACTCCTTCTTTGGATTCCATATTAACAAATTGGGTCTAAGAATATCAAATTTATACTTCAAGTCATCTGCTTTGACAATTTGGACTTCATAGACTCAAACGAGCCTAATGGGCCGAAATGAGATAAAATCAATAGTTTCTCCAAAGCTATCTATACTATATATAAAAGCACGAATAATGGAAAAATTAATGTTTTCCGATTGTACCCTTATATTTCTAAATTGACATTATTAAAATTTATTATTTAAAAATTAATTATAAAATTTCAATTTAGACTGAATTATAAGTTTGTAAAATTGATTTTCATTAATGAACATGCAAATTTCTACGAATAATGGGAAACTTTATGTTTTCCGATTGCACCCTTTTTTCCAAATATATTTGTAAATTTCCATTATTAAAATTTATTATAATTTTATTATTTAAAAATTAATTAAAAATTTCAATTTAGACCGAATTATAAGTTTATCAAATTGATTTTAGTTGATGAACATGCAAATTTCCTTTAGTATTATTTTTTAAATTTAATATTTTACTTTTAATTTCAATTTTTAAATGCCAATAAAAGGTTAAACTAACACTAACACGTACAATACTATTGTTAGTGAAGCTCCATCTCTTCGTTATATAATGTTATGCCGCATTCACTTTGTTCAATTGGAAATTGTTGAGTTAGAAGAGTAGGTGATACTATAATTTTGATTTTCTTGTCTCTATGTGGTTATCAAAATTTCATAAGATGGTTATTATAATTTCATGAGGAGATTATCAAAATTTCATATGAAAGTTATCAAAATTTCATAGGATCAGGTTATTAAAATTTCTTAGGTTGGTTATTTAAATTTCATAGGATAGTTAATTATCACAATTTTATAGAAAGGTTATCAAAGAGGTTATCAAAATGTCATAGCGAGGTTATAAGAATTTCATAATGTGGTTAACAAAATTTCATTAGGAGGTTATCAAAATTTTATAGTGTGGTTATCAAAATTTCATATGAATGTTATGAAAGTCTTAATTTCACAAGGAGTACCAAAATTTGATAGAAGGTTATCCAATCTCATAGAGTGATTATCGAAATTTCATAGAGATCAGATTATCAAAATTTGTAGGAAGATTATCAAAATTTCATAGCGTTGTTATCAAAAATTCAAAGCGAGATTATCAAAATTACATAATGTGATTATCAGAATTTCATAAAGGGGTCAACAAAATTTTATAAAGAGGTTATCAAAATTTCAAAATGTGATTACAAAAATATCATAGTAGTATTTCTGGGGAGGTTATCCAAATTTCATAGTATGTTTACCAAATTAGGAGGGTTATTAAACTTTTATTATGGAGTAATCAAAATTTCATATGAATGTTATCGAAATTTCATAATTTAGTTTTCAAAATTTCATAAGAGGGTTATCAAAATTTCATAGTATGTAGATCAAAATTTCATAGGGAGATTATCAAAAATCATAGAGAGGTTATCAAAAATTGTATTTATCAAGATTTCATGAGAAAGTTATCAAAATTTTATAGGGATGTTTATCAAAATTTTATAGGAAGATTTATCAAAATTTCATAGCGAGGTGATCACAATTTCATAGTGTGATTATTAAAATTTCAAAGTGTGATTACTAGCAATTCATATGGAGGTTTTTAAAATTTCATAACGTGATTATCAATATATCATATGGAGGTTATCAACATCTCATAGTGTTGGTTATCAAAATTTCATTGGGAAGTTATCAGAATTTTATATTGAGATCTTAAAAATTCCTTAAGAAGGTTAACAAAATTTCATAAGAAGGTTAAAAAAAATTATAAAAAGGTTCTCGAAATTCCATAGTATCGTTATTAAAATTCCATAGGAAGGTTATCAAAATTTCATAATAGGATCATAAAAAATAGTGTAATTATCATAATTTAATAGAGAGGTTATCATAATTTCATATGTATATTTCATTTAAACATGTTGGGTCATGTGCAACGCACGTGAAGGAGAAAACTAGTATATAGATATACTAGTTTTCTCCTTCACGTGCGTTGCACGTGGTACGAAATATGTTTTTACCATTACATTCAAATTTCCTGAAAAGTACGACTGGAGAAGTTTTTCTCAACACAAAGCTATGAGATGAAATGGGGCAAGGATTGGAAGGGGCCCCCAAAAAAAACTCGAGAAGTTGAAACAGAGGTCCTTTGTAATTAATTTATCTTGAAATCTAACCATTTATACCGCATTTGAATTTCAGAAAGTACTTTTGGAATTATTTACAATATAATATTCCTCAAAATATTTATATACCGAAGTGACGTAAAGGTAAAGATGATGTTTACATTCAAGGCAGTATATAGTACAATATTAATTAAGTACAAATATAACAACTTTTTCCTTTCTACTCAATCTATTTGAAGAAACCAGCAAGGAGCTGGGTAGAGTCGTATAGAATTCAAGTGATCTTGCCAAGCCATTCAATGTGAAGGCTCCAAATCTAACCATGTCAGAGATAAGCTAACCCAGCAGATCCATCCTGACTAGAATTCAACTGATCTTGCCAAGCCATTCAATGTGAAGGCTCCAAAATTGGATACATGATTCTACATGGTTAGCTTATCTCTGACAACAGAATCGTATTCGCTTGAATTTTCAATTCTTAACTAAAGAAAATTCAAAGGTTCAATTATTTGACAAGAGAAAAGTCACTTTACCTCTTGAAGCAAATCCATCCTGGCTAGAATTCAACTGATCTTGCCAAGCCATTTCATTTTCCAAGATGGATGGGCAATAACATTTTCCAATGGCATTGACAACCCTCTACCTCCTTACTCCCTGCGCCGCACTATGTTTCATCCTACTTATACCAGCTATCCCCTCCTGAGGTACAATTTTTTTTTTCTTTTTTTTCTTCTTTAATTGTTGAAGAATGTTAACGCAAAAACTTGGATGATGCTTTGTTTCCTCAGGATTTAATGCTTGCAACGTTTTTATTGAGGCCACTTGCTCTGTATGGTGGCAAAATTTCTCAAGTGCTTACTAAAGAGAAGTATGGATCAGTAAGTAGAGTGTATATTGTGTGAGATCAAGATGTTTCTACACCTGAAGACGTCCAAAGGTGGATAATTGAAAACAACCCACCAAATGAGGAATCCTAAGGAGCTGTGCTCTTGCCTCCAAGAAATTGCAGACAAATATTCTTAATGTGCTCCTATTGTAGTTTTAAAATAGTTTGAGAACAATTAATTGATGGAACTATCAAATTTATATTTATATAGATATAAATTTTTGATGCAGATATACTAATATAAATGCTTCAACAATTAGTCAGTCATCTACCTACATTTACCTACTTTTTTTATCCTCCAGGAAGGAACCAAACAAAAGATCTAACAACTTGATTTGAAAGCCAAAGCAGCAGTGATGTAGCGGAAGGTTAGAAATAGCAAGAACTTCAACAAAATTAGGCTAGAACAGAATTCTGATTGAATTGGAACAAGATAATTAGGGTTGAATAACCTCTGAATAATTTCTGATTTCAATAAAATAAAAGTCTACCAAAGTTTGCTGGATAACAGCCCTTATATACTAACAATTAACCTAAAATCCTAATTCTAATAGGAAAAGTAAAACCCAAGTAAAACCTAATCCTTCTAGGAAAAACCATAAACATCAAAATCCTAATGACTTAAGGCTAAAGTAAAAGACTCAAAATTAAATAAATAAAACAGAAATAATTAAACTAAATAATTTAAAAATGCGCTGCATCATTCTCCCCGGGTTTGAAAAAGACTCGGCTCCGACGAGTACACTTTAATGAACTCCTCATAAATTTCTGGATCAACTTGCTTCAGCTCTTCTTCAGCAATCCAGGTGCTTTCGGTTGCTGGTTTTCCTAGCCATTTCACCAAAAACCTTTTGTACATATTTCCTCGCCTTGATCGAACCTCTTTAACATCCAAAACATCTTCAATAACATCACTTTTCGCAGCTGGTAACTGTTGAACTTGTTCCTCAATGCTAAAAACAGTCCCATCATCAATTCCATCAAATGTATATAAATCTGAAACATTAAAAACTGGACTGATTTGCAAATCTGATGGCAACTCAATCACATAAGCATTAGAGCTGATTTTCAACACTTTACAAGGTCCAAGCATTCTGTTCTTGAGTTTGTGATAAGTTCCTTTTGGAAATCTCTCTTTTCTCAAATACACAAGAACTTGATCACCTTCTTCAAACTCCTGTTGTCTTCGATGCTTGTTAGCCTCAGAAGAATATGCTACATTGCTGTCTTTTAATGCAGCCTTCACCTCTTCATGAACCCTTCGAATATGATCAAGAAATTCTTCTCCTTTACCGCTAACTCTAGCTTCTGGTGGTAAAGGAACTAAATCAAGAACATGTTGAGGTTTCAATCCATATGCAGCCTCAAAAGGTGTCTTCTTGATACTCCAATTCACTGAATTGTTGTAAGCAAATTCAGCCTGCGGTATAACAGAATCCCAAGTCTTTGGATTATTCCTAACAAGACATCGCAGCAAGTTACCCAAGCTTCTATTCACAACTTCTGTTTGTCCATCCATTTGTGGATGACAAGTGCTTGAATACTTTAATTCAGTCCCAAATTTCCTCCACACAGTCCTCCAAAAATGTCCCATAAACTTCACATCTCTGTTTGAAACAATAGAAGTTGAAACTTTATGCAATCTCACAATTTCACGGAAAAATAATTCAGCAATATGAACTGCATCAGAAGTCTTAAAACATGGAATAAAATGAGCCATTCTCGAAAAACGATCTACCACAACAAAAATAGAATCGAATTTCTTTGCTGTTTTCGGAAGTCCCAAAACAAAATCCATACTCAAATGAATCCATGGAGCATCAGGCTCGGGTAAAGGTGTATACAGCCCGTGTTTTGAACAGCTCCTTTACCAAGTAAACAGGCTGGACATCTTTTCACAAACCTCTCCACATCTCGACGCATCCTTGGCCAAAAATAGCGATCAACCACCATTGCCATAGTTTTATCTCTGCCAAAATGTCCTCCTAAACCATTTCCATGAAGTTCTTTTATAATTTGTTCTCTTAAAGACCCTTCTGGAATGCACAACTGATTCCCTTTGAATAAATAATCTTCATGCAACTTAAAAGGTAAATTTCCAGCTTGTGGTGAATCTTGTAAATCAACCAGTATCTTGCTAAAATAGGGATCAATAGGATACTGTTCCTTTAACTCTTCAAAACCTGTAATTTGAGTGCTCAATACGGATAAAAATAAAGCCTTTCGCCTTAAAGCATCAGCCACCGTATTAGACTCGCCAGACTTGTATTTCAATGTAAAATTGAACTCATCAAGAAAAGAACTCCACTTTGCATGTCTATCATTAAGCTTTTTCTGTGAACTTAAATACTTCAAAGCTTGATGATCAGAATAGACAACAAACTCTCGATAAGCCAAATAATATTGCCAATGTCGAACTGCCCTCACCAAAGCATAAAATTCTAGATCGTAAGTTGAATAACGACTTCTAGAATCTGTCAACTTCTCGTTGAAAAATTCCACTGGCCTTCCCTCTTGATTAAGAACTGCTCCAATTCCAGCATGTGAGGCATCACATTCAACGACAAATAACTTCTCAAAATCTGGTAGTGCAAGGACAGGAGCTTCCGTCAACAAACCTTTAACCCTCTTAAAAGCCTTTCTTGCAGCATGTGTGCACTCAAATTCACCTTTCTCTTTTACAGATTTGGGTTCTGGCCATTCCGCTATAGCACTAACTTTCTCCGGATCTGGTTTCAATCCTTCTCCCGACACAATGAAACCAAGAAACACAACTTCAAATCGCATAAAGCTGCACTTTTTCAGATTTACATAAAGCTGCTCCTTTTGCAAAACCTCAAAAACTTGTCGCAAATGCTTCAAGTGTTCTTCCTTTGTGCGACTATAAACTAAGATATCATCAAAGTAAACCACAACAAAAGAATTCAGGCAAGGCTTCAATACCTCTGTCATAACTCGCATGAATGTGCTAGGAGCGTTAGATAGACCAAACGGCATCACCAACCATTCGAATAACCCATCTGGAGTCTTTAAAGCTATCTTCCATTCATCTCCACTCCTCATTCTAATTTGGTGATATCCACTTTTCAAGTCGATCTTAGTATACTTTCTGTAGATGTATGGATCAACTAAAATCAGTTTCTCTTTTGCATTGTTACCCAAAATTTCACCAGCTTTCATAATTTTCTTTGGTGCTAACTTATGCAAAGTATCCTTAGTGTTTTTCTTGCAAAAACACTTCTTATTTGGCTTCTTCTTTTGATTCATATCATGATCAACTAGCCAACCAAAATCTGTTTGCATAGTATCACATACAACCTCCGTCAAAACAGTATTCTCCATACTTTTTCCATTACCGACAAAATCAGAATCATCTCCTTCACAAACAAATCCTTCATCAAAAACAAAATCAAAATCTTCTCTTTCACAAACAAATCCTTCACAAAGAACAAAATCAGAATCTTCTCCTTTACAAACAAAGAAAAGATCTTCCTCTTCCTCCTCGTCATACTCATCATAAACAGGTTCTAGCTCATACCAATCCATCTCCAATCCACCTCGTATCGCTTCAATCGTGGTTCTAGTTTCATGAAAATGATACTTTTTTCCAACTTCCTCTTCCAATTCACCTCGTGCCACTTGATCTGCGATTCCAGCTTCATGAAAAATATTTTCATAATCAATTTCATCGATCCAGCAATCCACATTCAGTCCACCTCTTGCCGCTTGAATTACGGTTCCCGCTTCATGAAAAGGATTATCATCCTCGAGATCTAAAATCTCAAAGGGTTTGTGGTCACCTTCCAGAATCTCCATTCGGGTTTCCACCGGTTCCTGACGCTCCAAGGCTTGTACAGCCCGGGTCAAGTCATCAATCTCTCTCCATATCTCAGCCAACTCGTTGTTTAGTTGGTTGCCTCTATCTCGACCTCTACGACCAGACATAATTTCCTAACAGGAAATTACGATAGGAACGATTTCCTATGGCTCTGATACCAATTGATGTAGCGGAAGGTTAGAAATAGCAAGAACTTCAACAAAATTAGGTTAGAACAGAATTCTGATTGAATTGGAACAAGATAATTAGGGTTGAATAACCTCTGAATAATTTCTGATTTCAATAAAATAAAAGTCTACCAAAGTTTGCTGGATAACAGCCCTTATATACTAACAATTAACCTAAAATCCTAATTCTAATAGGAAAAGTAAAACCCAAGTAAAACCTAATCCTTCTAGGAAAAACATAAACATCAAAATCCTAATGACTTAAGGCTAAAGTAAAAGACTCAAAATTAAATAAATAAAACAGAAATAATTAAACTAAATAATTTAAAAATGCGCTGCATCAAGCAGATTTGAAAGCCAAGGCAGCAAATTAGCCTTGTAATGTTTTACCAGCATCAGAAGCAAGCTTCTCATATCTCAGGTTCAACATTACTTTCCAGAGGTATTTCATTAGCTTGTTTGGTTACTTGGTTACAGGGTTACACAGAGAAGCAACATATAAGAGGGTTACAAAAATTAAAAATATACGATGAGGAACTATTGACTTTCATCCCAAAGCACAAAAAATTACTATATATTAAGAGGAAAAAGACATGGGTTCATATATCTATTGATAAAATATATAGAGCTTTAACTGCAGCAAAATGTTGATAGGTAATGTATCTATTGATAAAATATATAGAGCTTAACTGCAGCAAAATGTTGATAGGTAATATATATACATGATCAAAACAGAATGAAACGCCTAGACCTTCATGTTCCCTCACAGGTGGTGACAAAGCAGACCAGAATAGGATTGAGTGGACAGCAAGATACTATTCTAATCTTCAAAGTTTTATTCATATACAATAGGATTAAGTGGAATAATATGACAAAAATAATTCAATTATGATTCAGCTTGTATCAATCCTACCTGATACAATAATCACCAAATTAAGTTACTCAATGCTCCCATTCGTTCTTCAGTTAAACCAGAGGTAAGGCAGGTGCAAAATTTCTATTCTAAATAGCAAAACCAAGCTGATTATGACACTCAAATCCACATTAAGAGAAAGAAAAAGGAAGATTTGGTATTTTAACCAAGCATAATAAACTACTATAAAACTTGAAGAAAAATAAAAGAGGGAGAAGAGAACCAGATCCAGAAAAAGAATTGAAAAATATCCCAAAACCTTCATCGTTCATCTTTATGGTCCAATTAAAATGTTTCAGTCTCTCTCCCTTTTAGAACCAAAGCACCGGGAAAACAGAGAATTAGGTGAATGGAAACAACAATTAAGTAAGATGAAAAGGAAAACATGCGACTCCAAGCAAATAGAAATCAATAACAGATAACAAAAATGGCAAAATTCTAAAGAACAGTACCTTCGAATCAAATAAATATAGGAATTCAACCTAGAATCCCTTTCAATTTCAATTTCCCCTCAAGTCTCCATGGCAAAGAGTGGAGGTGCGGAGAGTATGCAATTTGTGTTCTGGGTGTCGTTCAAAACTCAAAACTCTGGTGTACAAAAAGATTTCGGAGATTTGGTGGTGAGATGAAACCAAATAAAGTAGATGAAACCAAATAATAATTTTTGTTTTATAACGTTAGTGTTAGAACTTAGTTTAGTAAATATAGAATTTTTGAGAAAAGTAAATATAGAATTTTATCTAGGAAAGAATTAAGTAAATATAGAATTTTATCTAGGAAGGTAATGTACTCAAATAAGATATGTTAAGTCACGTAGCAATCTTGTAGTCAATTATTAATCAAATGTAAATTAAAAAAATTAATATATTATTATTATTAATTAATTAATTGTATAATGGTAGCTTAGATTTATATTAAAAAAATAAAGATATAATGGACATTTCAAAAGTTAAATAGGGGTATAATAAGTATTTCAAAAGTTTCTCAAAACTCGTACTTTTATATATATATATAATATATATAATTTTATATATATATAAAAGATAATTAGGTTAAATTGCATTCAACTTGAATTTCCGTTCCATAGCCATGGGCGGTTGCAAAGTCTCTCGTAATTTCATTGTAGGCAGATTTCTTTTCCCATTTAAACTCTGCATGCCCCCTTATTCAAAGCACACGAACTTTACTTTTCAATTTATTTTTTATCTTTTGTTTTTTTTTCCTTATACTTTTCAATTTTCCTTTTGATTTTGTGGCCCAATACTAAAACTACTAATAAACATAGCAAATTACACAAAATACCAAAAAAAAGACAAAAGAAAAATTGAAGAAATAGAAAAAAATATGGGTTTAAATTCTATTAGAATCATCCTAAAAAGGGGTGTTTTTAGGATTCCATTAGGATGATGTCATCTAATCAAATTTGAATCATCGTCAAATCTTAATTTACATCTTACCACACCTAATTAAAATTTTATTAATAATCTTAACTAAATTTTAACCTTAGTTAAAATTGAATAATTTTATTAGAGTTTTGTTACATGACCCTCTAATTTGACCCTCCAATTTGACCATCCACTTGTCTCTCTTACCTGTCATTAGAAAACTTACCATAATTTCTAAAACCCTATTCAATAATAGTTTAAAATCAAGGGATTTACCTTGCAAACTCTCCATATTTATAACTAGGGGCTAAACTTGGATTTAATTTGTTACCTTAATTATTAGGAGGGTCAAGTTGGAGGGACAATTTGGAGGGTCAAATAGAATTTTCCATTTTATTAATAATTTTTTTAACTTCTTTTTTTACTTGCAACGTGGCTTTTTTTTTAAAACAAAATAAATTAATAAATTTTGTTTTTTCCTTATAACGTGAGTTTTTTTTTAATGAATTTTGTTTTTGCCTTATAATGTGACTTTTTTTTTCACATTAAGATTGGTTTTGGATGTGAAACAATTTTTTTTCTTTACTAGTGGCAAATTAATTTAATTAGTTTAGAACAAATCTAAATTATGAGTCATGAGAAAAATAAGTTACTAATTTGATCATCACAAATTATGCCCAATATTCAGTTCTTTTCATGGCGATTGGTGTGGAATATTCTACTTATAAAGAGCAATCTTCTCTCTAGAGGTTTGGATGTTTCACAAGTATTCGATGTATGTGGGGAACATGTAGAATCAGTCTTCCATATCTTTTTTGGTTCTTGGGTGAACCCGAGTCTTGATCAATGGGATTCTAATGGCGACTTCTGGGATTTTTTCATTGAGAAAGCAGCTTCAATTGGGCAACTTGTTACTTTGTGGCTAATCTGGAATAATAGAAATAAGGCTCTATATGATCTGGTTCTTTGTCACCTTCAGCACTGTAATTTTCGGTTACTTTTACTTTGGAGCAATTAATCTCAATTCATAGGAAGACAGACAAGACTTCATTGATCCCGACTCGGCAGCTAAATTGGATCCCACCTCCAATGGGGGTGTTTAAGATCAATACAGATGCTGCTTTCTGCAGCGGTACCGGTAGAGGTGCCAAATGGGCGGGTTGGACGGGTTCGGGTTTGAGTTTGGGTCATCTGGGTTCGGGTCAAATGGGTCAGACAGTTTTTTCGGGTCATTCGGGTTTTGGGTCATCTGGGTTCGGGTTATACGAGTTTCAGGTCATTCGGATCTCGGGTCATACGGGTTTCGGGTCATTTGGATCTTGGGTCATTCGGGTTCCGGGTCATTCGGGTTTCGGGTTGGGCGGGTTCGGGTTTTGACTTCGGATCGCTCGGGTTTCGAGTCAATTGGGTCAGCATTGAATTTTTTAATTTTCAATACTCAACTTTTTAAATATATTTATTATTCGATTTATTTTTTAAACAAGTAGAAACATTAGACAATTTATTATCAACGAAGTTTAGCATACTGCATATACGAGGTTAAAGGATAGAATACTTTATATGTGCCTCCTTAGATATTAATTTTGAATATTAAATACATAATTGATTATTAGGTGAGGTACGTTTTGAATATTAAATACATAATTAATTATCAGGTGGGATATGTGTCAACATTTTAAGCCGTATAAAAAGTAAAAACATTATTAACATTGTATTATTATAAGTAAAATATTAGTTATGTAATATCTAAATTTATATTTTTTTTTCATTACTTCAATTATTATTATAAATTAATTAATAATATAACTATTCATGAACAATGAAAATAGAATTACAACCCTTACCAGCTAGATTATTAGTACAATCATAGCATCCAATAGATAAAATCATCAAGAAATTACGAAGTAAGTATTACTTTTTATTCATTATCTTTTAAAAATAAATTAATTATAAATTTATCATAAATTATTCATATAACTGATTTAATTTTAGTGGTTGTTCATATAATGAATTTTAGCAAATTTAATCATGATTTATAATAGGTAAAATTATAACAATAATATTAATTGTATTGAATAAATGATGATTTAGAATAAGTAAAGTTATAAATCTTATTGAATAAAAGATAATTTTAGTTTATAATATTCTCGGGTCATTCTGGTTAATTCTCGCGTTATTCGGGTTTCGGGTCATACGAGTTTCGGGTCATCTAGATTACGGGTCATTTGGGTTTCGGGTTATCTGGGTTACGGGTCATCCGGGTCTCGGGGGTCATCTGGGTTGCGGGTCATTCGGGTCTCGGGTCGGGCGGGTTAGGGTGTCGCAACGTTTGGGTCCAGGAGGTACCGAACCCTATCGTTGAACGACTTAAAAGGGAAACACTACTGAAACTATATGAGAGTCGCCACTAATCTTTTTTAACCTTGGTGTGATTAGCCACCTATTAGATTATTATGCCTAATGTTAACCTAAGCTTGGCAAGGGTAACACTAAACCTAATAAACGGTCTTCTAACCAGAGTCCTAAAAGTTCGGGAGTCGGATACGCGTGGGGAAGAATTAGCACCCCCACGACGCCCGTCAAAAGACGGCACTGACTAGTCTAGACTTAACTATGGGTTTCTATCATTGGTTGTCTTTATG